GATTGGTGACTCTGATTGCCAGCTGGGCTGCTCTTTCCACAATAGCTTTGCGGTTCTTGGAGGAGACATTGTGAGCAATCTCTGCACAGTAAGATCTGGAAGAGAAGCAGTTAGTAAGGAGCAAGCCAGATGCACACACACTCCTGAGCTTCCCGGGGAGGGCGGCGGTTTTGGGTCACAGCAGCTCCAGAGCCACGAGGGCACTGGCAAAGCTGATGAAGACCGACACAGTCCCAAAGCCTAACTTTCCTAAATTCCATGGTACCAGCAGCGAGGCTCTTCAAGTATTCCCTGGCAGTGACACAAGTACTCATTGTCTCCTCATTTAAGCCTTAAAAGCAGACTCGTAATCCAGGTATTGCCTCCTCTTACAAACCATGACCCTTAAAGGTGGAAGTGAATTCCCAAGTCAGATATTTAGAAATGGACGGGGCTAGGATGGCTCAGTCCCAGATTCCAAGTTCAAACGTTCTCCCCCAATCCTTTCAGTCAATCTGCCCAACACAGGGCAGTCTCAGGGAGCTTGGACTTGACCATCAAGTTCTTAAATTCTCTGCAAAGTAAGCAAGAGCAGAATCCAACAGTCTGATTAAGCCAAGGATTTCCTGGCCTAGACATTAACATTTTACTTGTTTGACTGCTGCAGACAAAATTCAAATTGAGAAGTAACATTGCCTGAAAGTCACCCAGCAAGTAGCTATACCGAATATTTCCCAAGTATCTGGCTGCCAGATACTGTTCTAACCTACTCATTCTTCACAGCTGCACCAGGCCCCAGTTCAGTAACAAATTGGCCTACTGAGCACATTTTAGCGAAGTGATTTATGACACCATCAACATCTGGTTAAGAAAAGATACTCTAGGGGCACCTGGCTGGCTGGTAGAGCATGTGACTCTTGATTTCAGGGTAGCGAGTTCAAGCCCCAGGTTGGGCACAGAGCTTACTTAAAAACAAAATCTTTCAAGTATTTATTTAAGTAAGCTTAACGACTGAGCCACCCAGGCACCCCTCAAAATAGCTGTATTTTGCAATGTTTCCATAATCTTTGTTTTCAACACTGAAATCTACACCCCTACCGCAAGTCCTTATCCACATGTGTATTTAATAACCAATCAATCACTATACATATCGTCTTAAATACTTACCTGTCTGCCTGGGCATTTTCCCCACACATGACAATCCTTTTAAATACATGTCCAACACTCCACCCAGTGCTTGTACTCCCACCATTCACAAATCGTATTTTCAATTGTTCAAACTGAATCGAACAAGTGATCACTGTTTCAAAATGCTTTTCATTTAGGGATAGATATCCAGAAATGGAACTTGTGGATTTAAGGTCCTAGCTTTCAAATACTTCTACGGCTCCTGACACAAACTGACGAGCTATTTAAAGAGTATCTTTCTGGCAACAAGCGACACTTGCACTGCAGCATTTCTGCTACGCAACAGGTACTGCATCTGTCTGTCACAATTCTCCAACCACCTAATCGCAGTTTGGGCAGTCATCCCCAATTCCGATGCTCACCCAAGGATTTTCTAAGGAAAATTTCCAGGATTCCAACACCCAGTTACATTCCCAACTTAGAAAACTCCACCACAAAGTGAGAATAATGGCTTCGTTTATTTCTATTACTTGTGTCTGCAATCGCTATAGATGAAAGATCTTTGTAAGCAAGCACACCTACGTGCTACAGTTAGTCACCCTCCTTTCCACGTCCTAATTAGGAAAACACAGGTTTTCACCTTCTGTTTAATGGAAAGGGAAGAAAACGGTCCTCTGCTTAACCAAAAAAACCCCACCATTCCCTCCAATCCGGATTCAAAGCATCTGAATCACTTCCCACATGAAATATTTTCTCACCCCACTGCCCTAGTTTTAGTCTAAGCAGACCACAAGTCTCTCTCACACAGAGCTCATAAAGTGTCTAACTTTCTCAAAATACTTTGAAGTAATGCTGTGAACCCTCCGTGCACTCTTGCATCTCTACAACTTTGTGTAAGCCATACTCTTCCTTTTCTCCACCTCAGATCACAGAGCTCTTAATCAGGCAGCAACTCGTCTATTCCTGTAGATTTCTGAAGGAAGATACCCATGGCCACAGCATGAAGTGCCCCTTAGGCCTGAGGCTATATTTGATCTCCCTGCTACCTCCACATAAAGCAATGTTCTGCAAAGAACTGCCAAAAGGATACCACAGTGTTTTTATTATTGGGCAAAGTCCTTCTCTTTCCAGATCTTGGGTCTCTACACTTTTCAGGACAAGTTCCCTTACCCTGCTCCAGCAAAGGAAACATTTCCAAGTCCCCAACAAGCATTCTTTAAGCTCCCAAGAGAATATACAACTCTTCCAAATGCAATCTGTAAGTCTAGAGTCCCTACCAAAAATGCTCACAGATGCAGACTTCTGACACCTGAACCCAGAGGTGGGACCCAACTCACTTGTTGCACATCAGCAGCACTTCAAGCTCCTTGACGTTGTGGACTAGGAACTTCCGGAAGCCACTTGGCAACATGTGCTTTGTTTTCTTGTTGCTCCCATAACCAATGTTGGGCATCAAGATCTGGCCCTTGAATCTTCTGCGCACCCTATTGTCAATGCCTCTGGGTTTCCGCCAGTTGCGCTGAAATAAACACAGGAGGGTTAGTGTCTTTGCTAACAACTCTTCCCTTTGGAGGAAAAAAAAGGGGGGACCCAATGAAAAGGAAATATGCCAAACAGCAGCTGTCTTTGGGTTACAGTATTTCACTACATCTTTAGATTTTTTTTGGGGGGGTGGAAAAAAATAGGGGCTCCTGCATTTGACTACCAAGAATAAAGACCCACATCCACACTCCTCAACAAAGGAAAAGCAGACTACATACTGATAGAATGTGAAGGGACTGTGTATACAGTTAAGATCAAGAGTGAAGAGCACGGGTTTCAGCACTGCACTCAAGATGTTAAGTTTTCTCATCATAAAAATAAGGATAATCTACTCTCAACGTCTTAAGGCCACCTAAAATGGTTCAAGTCTCTAGACACCTCAAAACAGCCAAGTGTCCCTGATCATTTAAATTTCAATTTATATTATAATCAAGTGACTGAGTGCCAGTAAGGCATACTCAGGGAGACCTGGGTTTCTAGAAAGCTCTACCACCAACCAGACTGGTTCATCTGCCAAAGGTGATCTCTCAACCAGGTGATGCCAGAAGTCCAAGAGCCCATTTAGGAGTTCCTTTCTCCATCCCAAAGTACACTTCCATCCCGGGACGATACATACCTTAATTTTGACATAGCGGTCTGACTGGTGCCGGATGAACTTCTTGGTCCTCTTTTTAACGATCTTGGGCTTCACCAGAGGTCTGAGGGCAGCCATGATGCCTTCAGGAAAGAGGGAGAGATGGTGTCAAGCAGTCCTGGAAGGAGGCTTTCCTGCTCAGGGCTTGAACATTGTTGCAGAGTGTCTTCCAATCACCAGCTACTGAGCAAACTGGGAATGGAATGGGTACCTCTGCCAGGCTTGCTTTCCCTCCCGACTCCGAAGCTGGCAGAATACTAACCACTCTCCAGACGCGATCCTGAGAGGTCAGGAGTCACCTCACCCACTAAAGCCAAGGAAGAATGCTAACAGCTGATCTAAGACAAATCGACCCCCGAACGTTCTCAGCTTGCACAGGGCAGCAAATCCCACTTCCAATGTCCCAATCCCCAGATGGTCCAATTTCCTTTTAGTTATGCAGAACTTGGGCAGTCTACAAGAACCGAAACGGGAATGATCCTGCACACTTAATGCCTGCAATGACTGAACCCAAAGAGAGGTGAAGAGAAACCTCTGTTGCCCCGAGTGCTGTTGCTCTGCAATTCCCTCACAACAGGCCTACAAAGCCACGATGTACGTATGTTTCTAGACCTCTGAACTTCCTGCTCTACCTGGAGATCATCCGAGTCTCAATTAAAAACCCTCCTCAAAGCGGCCTTCTCGGTTACCCTATTCTTTTCGCCTGCAGCACACTTTTTGTTCTCGTCTCTTCACCGCCTCTATTTCCTTGTTTAGCACCCGGTTAAGTGCCCAGCGAACGTCGTGTTCGGTAAACGAACGCACCCCCGCCCGCAACATTATATCCTCGAAGACAAGGACGCAATTTTATATTCCCAGAGACCCTGACCCGCCATCAGCATTTCTGTTAACGGAGCTAATCGATTCGCAGCTCATGGTGGTTGGTCTGTTAAGTGGTCCGGCTGCAGCAGCAACCCCCAGACCGGAAAACTGCGAAGGAGGGAGCGTCGGTCTGCGCAAACAGAAAATACACGCGGGCACACATGACTGACCAAGGGGATCCGAGTATTCCAGTCATCAAATCGGAACCCTCGGGTCGCTCCACGGCCCCCTCAGTCTAGACCCGAACAGCGACCTTCACTCCCAGGGCTCAAACCAGCTTGTCCGCAACTCTTAAGAGAGACACCAGGCGGCCTCCGTAGGAGGGCAAGTGGCCCTGGGAAGCGAACGTCCACCATCAACTGGGCCGCTTCGCTCTGTTCGTGTACGTACTCCAGCCAACCGACAAGGACAAAGCCCACCAAGGCGACTGCTTGGAAGGGCAAGCCTCCTCACCACGAAGCGATAGGATCAGATGAAGGCCGCAGAGATGCAGATGGCCAACGATTAAAACTCACCCAGTAACAGATGGCTGCCACCTCCACAGGCAGCGCCGAGGAAGAGAGGGGAAGGTGGCGCGCGAGGGCTGATGGGACTTAACCTCTGGGTCCTGGCAGGGAAAAAAGAGCACTTCCGGTTCCTGGTCCTTCAAAGAAAAGAGAGACACCTCAGAAAAATAATACTGAAAAAAAGTCGAGGGACACCTTTGTTTTCCTAGATGTTAATATCTCAGCGTAGTACTGAGAATTTTTCATATCTTCTGTTGGGACTACGTAGAACATTTGGAATTCTTTCTGAGCTTCTAAGACCTGGTGGGGGACATAGACTTCCGCCAGAAATTGAAGCCATTTCTCCGGAGAAGAATTCAGTTTTTGGATTATTTCCGCCCGCGTTTCTTCTGCTACTAAGTGCGCCTCTTAGTGGCCAGGAAGGAACAAAACAGAGACTTCCTAATTCTCTCACGTGAACATATAGAGTAAAATAGCAATGAGACGAGACGCCTGGGTGGCTCAGTCGTTAAGTGTCTGCCTTCGGCTCAGGTCGTGATCTCAGGGTCCTGGGATCGAGTCCCACATCGCGCTCCTTGCTCAGTGAGGAGCCTGCTTCTCCCTCTCCCTCTGCTGCTCCCCCTGCTTGTGCTCTCTCTGACAAATAAATAAAAATCTTGAAAAAAAAAAAAGCAATGAGACTGTAACAGCTATCATTCAATGGGTTTTACTCTCCTTCTTACAATTCTGGGAGGTAGTTCTATTATTTTCCCCATTTTATACATGTAGAAAGGGAAGTTTGGGGATTCGACTCCAAAATCCACACTTCTAATCATTAGGCTAACCTGCTTAGTGTTAAATTGTTCTTGGTTTTGTTTTACTTAGATTTTGTTTTTAAGATTGTTGTAAAAAATCACATTTCAGGATAAAAAAATTGCACCTTGATTCCACAATTTGAACACAATACAGGTATCATCTTTTTTTTAAGATTTTATTTATTTGACAGAGAGAGAGCTCACACAAGCGGCGGCGGCGGGGGGGGGTTGGTGATTAGCAGGCAGAGGGAGAGGGGGAAGCAGGCTCACCACTGAGCAGGGAGCCGGATGTGGGGCTCGATCCCAGGACCCTGGGACCACGACCTGATCAATTGAAGGGCAGACGCTTAACCTACTGGGCCACCCAGGCACCCCCACTGATCTAGATAGTAGTTCCAGGGACCAGATGGGGACAGAAGCTACACTGGATTGTGTTGTTCATTGGATGAGAAGTGAGAAGGGAAGAAAGGGTTGACAAATCCTTCAGGAGATTTGGACTGTAAAGGGTAGGGGCATTTGAGGAGACCCAGAGGAGTGAAATGTGAAATGTCTTGTCTGAGGTCACAAAGCTGGCAAGCAATAAGGTTGAGACTGGCACCCCTTTGTGCCTAGGACTATACCAAACCTCATGAATCCTGTTTATCCTGCAGGCTCTGGGAAGTCAGGTGGGATGCAGAGCATGAAATCACTCAGCCTAATAGCAGCCCACATTATGTGCATTGTGAAGGAAAAGGTCTTGATGGGGTCAGGTGGGCTAATCAAAGGGCTCATGAACTAGAGAGCATGTCTCCCAACTGTGAAAGACCCAAGAGGTTTGAGAAGCAGTAACCAAAATGGCTCCATCTTTGGGGGATGAGAGACCCGTTGCCACTGTATGTCACAGAGAAGGGCACAGGGTACCCGCAGTGCCAGCTGCTTTCCCATGAGCCCTGAGATCCTAGGGCAAGAAGCTGGAGGTGCCATGCAGGCATCCTTGCCAGGATCCCTGGGAATATTCCTGCTCTAGTGCCCCGGGCTCAGGACCCCAGCTTTCCAAACATTTGTCTGGCCACAGCTCCTGAGCAAGAAGTCACATCAGCTGGATCACAGGTGACATGAAAAAAACTCCAACCCGGTTTATTTCAAAAGGGCAGAAGTCAAGACAGGGAAATACTCAGAAACTGCATCTCTTTCCCGGGTACATCTGCCCTCTGAGACCCTGGATACTTTTGCTCTAGCGAGAGCTGGCTCCACACCATTCCACTGAAAGGATTTCTTTTATCTGGCTCTCGACACTTCCCCCGTGACTGTGGCTCTGGGCTGCGAAAGGCACAGGCCACAGCCCGAGGATGGCTGGATCCCACAACACCTGGCCACTCTAGTTGATGTAGTAGACCTTGGGGGCATCGTAATAGGCACAGGTCATGTAGTTCATGTTCCCAATGGGCCACCAGTGGTCGGGGTGGTAGGTGGCTGAGTAGGCATGGGGCTGGGGCTGGACGCAACTGAAGAGTGCCAGGCTCTGGTCCACGGCCACAGTGGGCAGGTAGAGCTGCAGCTTGTCCAGCAGGTGACCCGGCCAGAAGAAATTGGGGTGAGTTCGTTGTGGACCTGTGGGGCTCTTCACTTTCAGCTTCCTGGAAAAGAAGACAGAAGTGTGTCATGGCAGACTAGCCAGGGCCAGGGTCCCTGCTCAGCAGAGCAGACCAACTGTGACCAGAGTGGAGGGGTAGCATTGAGCTAAGTCCTTCGGCTCCATGCGGTCAGTGGGTTCTCTTATCCTGTCTACCTTACCAATGAGGACCTGAAGGCCTAGGGAGGATAAGTCATTTCCCCAAAGCCACGCAGTGAGCAAGTGGCAGAGCGCGGGCTTGACGCCTAATCTGCTGCCTCTAATTTTTTTTTAAAGATTTTATTTATTTGACAGAGAGAGACACAGCTAGAGACGGAACACAAGCAGGGGGAGTGGGGGAGGGAGAAGCAGGCTCCCGCCAATCAGGGAGCCCAATGCAGGCCTCGATCCCAGGACCCTGGGATCATGACCTAAGCCGAAGGCAGACGCTTTTTAAGATATTATTTATTTATTTATTTGACAGAGAGATAGAGAGCACAAGTAGGCAGAGTGGCAGGCAGAGGGA